CTATTTTATTATCACACCCACGTTTTTATTTTGTTAACATCACAACTTAAATTATTTTGTCATCATCACAACTTTAATTATTTTATTGTCATAAGAACTTTATTATTGGCGTGGAATTATTTTATGATAATCACATTTTCCCTTAAACTTGTTTAGGTTGTGTTGTCTAACTGATCTGGTCTAAATAGTTTTGTCTATTTGTTTGGTCAAAATACTGTTGATGTTAAAGCTGTAGCTGACCTGAAAAAAATGTTTCTTATCAGATCTAACAGATACTGGTCCTGGACTAACTTGCTCTGAATTGCTCTAGCTGGTCTAAGTAGTTTAGGTTTTGGTCTCTTTGGTCGGTGTGCAATGGCGGGTGGTGGGTTTGGTTTCTGATCTGAATGGATCTGGTTCAAATTGATTGTGTTTTCAGGGCTAATTAAATCTTGATGCACTGGTTCTAACTGCTTCTGGTCTCTCTGCAGGTATACTCTCCAATGGCAGGTGGTGGAATGGGTTCTGGCCTCGGAATGGGCTCCATGTCGGGCTACATGTCCAGCAGTGGAACCACATCGGGCTCCTTCAACATGTCGTACAGCGGGACTGGTTTGAGTCCTGCCCCAGTGGCAGGGATGGGCGGTTCGGCTCCTGCAGCCATGTCGGGTCTGGGGGGGGGAGTGGGCTCGATGAGTGGAACCCTGAGCCCATCCAGTATGAGCTCACAGCAAGCCTCAATGGGCCTAAATCCATACGGGGCCATGAGTCCCACAATGACCAATGGCATGGCGTATAGCAGTAGTGGACTGAACCGTGGTCGCGACAATAAGGCCTTCAGACGGAGCTACCCACATGCCAAACCACCCTACTCATACATCTCACTCATCACTATGGCCATCCAGCAGGCACCCAGTAAGATGCTGACTCTGAGTGAGATCTACCAGTGGATCATGGACCTGTTCCCATACTACCGTCAGAACCAACAGCGATGGCAGAACTCCATCCGGCACTCACTGTCCTTCAATGACTGCTTCGTTAAGGTGTCACGCTCACCGGACAAACCAGGGAAGGGCTCGTATTGGACCCTCCACCCAGACTCTGGGAACATGTTCGAGAATGGCTGCTACCTTCGCCGCCAGAAGAGGTTCAAGTGCGAGAAGAAGATATCTGCAAAATCAGATGGGCGGAAAGAGCTGGGGGGGTCAGGTGGTGTTATAGAACAAGCCTCTCCTGCAGGGGACTCCATTAAACCTCCTGGACTCCTGGACTCCTCCCTGCCCTCCTCCAGCCAGGTGACTTCGCCTCCAGGTCTGGACATGCGGGGTGGCATCAGCGGAGCAGACATAAAGGTGTCTGGCTCTCAGCTCCTTTCCTCCCTGTCATTGCCCCCTCACTCCATGACCAATGAGTCCCAGCTGCACCTCAAAGGAGACCCCCACTACTCATTCAACCACCCATTCTCCATCAACAACTTAATGTCATCCTCAGAGCAGCAACACAAACTGGATCTGAAAGCCTATGAGGCGCTGCAGTACTCCTCCTACAGTGCTGGGGGGGCGTCTGGCCTCGGGGGGAGGACCATGGAACCTCTGGAGGCTTCTTACTACCAGGGGGTCTATCCCAGACCGCTCCTCAACACTTCATAGTATCTGCTGCACCTGCTGATTTGACTCTCTGCATGCAGCCATCCTGGACTTCCTGTCTGACTGCGATGATGCTGAACTCGGTCCACTCTGCTGATGCTGGTTGGCTGATTTTTGAACTACTGCACTGTGACTATGCCAGGACACGGACATGTTAACTGTCACCTGATTAAACTGATACCTGGTCTGTTTTCTCCTTTTACACACTGAGTCACAAACTGCTGAAGGTTCAGGATACTAACAAAAGCTGATTTACTTTAAACCTCCAGCACATTATCCTCCGGTCCGACCCAGATCCTCAGTTCATGCAATTCAGGAGCTTTGTTCATGTCTGTTGATTCTGCAGTTCATAATCACAACCAGACCCTCTATTGGTCACAAGGCTCAAGAGATATTACCTATGATCAAAAAGATTTCAGTGACACAAATTGCGTAAATTTTTTTATCAGGTACTTTTTGTGACACACAGGATAGTTTTTAGGTGAATCACTCAAAGAAGGGTTGGCGTTAACTGGAATGCTAACCTCAGGAAACACTGCCATTAGGATTAGAGTAAACCAAGGCCTCATCCACTTTGTGGGAACCGACACCGACTTTGATCCAGTTTGTTTTTTTGTCCTGTCGAAGGTTTTATTCAGAAGGTTTGGGTTTTGCGCCTTGGCGAGCAAAAGATCAGAGGTTGCTTGGTGATGGCAATGACATGGTTGCCATGTTGACACTGATGAAGCTGCAGATGTTTACAGAAACAAATCTGGATTATAAAGATGCTAACTGATGTATTTAATCAGATATGAGGAGGACTTATTTCTCCCACGACCTTGTCTGCTACTCGGCTGACCTCCTGGCGGGTTGCGACCTTTGGAGTGAGAAACCTCAGCACAGATAAAAAAGCTTTTCATTTAAAGGGTCATTTCACCCAAACGATTCAAACACAGATTCGCCTGCCTCTCTGAATGTTGTCGTCTGTTACCGGGCAGATTTATTCAAGTGTTTGATCTTTTCTGGTTTCAGTCTGCTTCTACCAGATTAGAGAAAAATTGTTTGGGCTTTTTGGATGAAACAAAACTTTTATTATAGTCAAATCAACATTTATTAATTAAATGTCAAAGAATTAAATACAAATTAGGAATTAATTCAGGTGTGCAGTGAAAACACAATGTAAGATCAGCTTCATAAGGTGAATCAATCACTAATCATTTATCAATTTTAGTTATTGATAAATGTTGGTTAGTTAATTAGTTTGTTAGTTGTGATAAATACAAATGTCTTGTTTTATTCACATTGTATTTTTGTTTTTGTAATTATTTCCATTATTTCAAATAAAAAGTTGCGATCAATAATTTCTACCATATAGATTACTGTGTTTTTAACCTCTGATCACTGATCAATACTCAATCTTGTAGCTGTGACACTTTGATACGATCGATCAGTTTTTAAAGCTATTGATTCATCTTTTGATAAAAGATCTTTGTTTGTGAGTCTCACTCTGTGTGAAAAAGGAGAAACCACTTCCTGTCTGTTTTCTGACAGTTGGTACGTCTGATGATAAAAATCCTTTGTGTATTTAAACTTCCCTCAATCACCAATTATTGATTATTGATTAATATAGCCATGTGCATGAATGAAGGGTCTTCGTCTTCTTCTACTGTTTTCTGGGGCCAAAAGAACTGATTCAGACCTCAGCTTGAAAAGAAAGAGAGAGACAGACGGAGGGAGGAGGATGAAATAGTACCCCCACCCCCCCCCCCTTGTGTTTCTTCCTCGTTGGTTTTTGACTCTGATGCATGTTCTTAACTTATTCTGTCATTTTTAAATAAAAGAAGGAAACATTGGGCATTGATTGATTATTGATCTTTTTTTATGCTGTATTTTGGAATCATTCATGACAGTAGTGATGAATGAATGAAAAACTATTGGTTCAGTTATGATGTAAAT